TGTGTGTGTGTGTGTGTGTGTGTGTGTGTGAGAGTGTGTGAGAAGACTACAGCATCCTGTTTATGCAGCCTGGTCACTGCTGCCTGCTACTTCATTTTTCTGCTCAATCAGAAGTCTTAACAACTCCTCAAACTTCCAGTCTCAACATCACTGCTCTTTCCAAAGTTCTGTCCTTTAAAAACATTCGGACTAATTCCACCTCCAGTGCTAAAACAAAAAATCTCATGCGGGCAAACTTTCAGTCATTCTTCATAAAAACTGCTTTAAAGAACCGAACTGCTTTAGACCTCAGGACATCACACCCACCACAAACTGCTGGGTCATCTAGTGAGAGGAATTATACATTTGTGAAAAGAGGCTTTGTGTTCACGCAAAAGACAATAGCTCCGGCATGGCAGCAGGACCTTTAAACACCAGACACAGCACATTCAATGAGTCATTTGACACACCACCATCCAAAAGTCAGCAGATCAATTCTAGAGCAAAGTTTACTAACGTAAAGCTCCTGTGTTAATCTGCTCAAATCTGAGAACGGTGAACTTGACTGGCTCACAGCTGTCTCACGATGAGCGTCCGAGTGTAAATCATACCTGGACCTCTCAGAGGATTGACGAGCTGTGACGTCCTTCACGGTGGAGGGAGATGAAGTCCTGCATGGGTCAGTGACAGATGTCCTTCAGGGAGTCAGCGTTCAGACTGCTGGTGGAGTTGCTGCTCTCGGAGTGAAAATCCTTGTCTCCTGTGTGTGGTGGAGCTCAGCCCATGTGGCTGGATGGGAAATGGGAAATGAACCGTCTGGGCAAAGAGCCAAGAGCAGAGTAGGTTTTAAAGACACAGCAGTTTCAGTGCTATATCAGGTTCGGTCACACTTTTACTGTGGAAGTTCCAAGATATTTCAGCAACTGCAGCTTTTTATTGTTGTGACTGCATGAATATGAGAAATTCAGTAGTTGCTAAAATTTGACCAAATTAAATTCTGATATCATCCAATAGAAGATGCCCCTTATCATGTGACACTCCAAACTGACATTTACGCTGTGTTAGTTCAGTTCTGTTGAGTGACATGTCGAGAGATGTGAGACTTTCATGGGTAATGTTTTTCTGATTCATTTGGGGGAAATCTTTGTTTTTTTTTCTTAAACTCTTCCCATACTCCTCCTGTATGTCCCTCTTATTTTTCACAAAGGAGGGAGAGAGAGAGGATACAGGCCTGTTAACTGTTAATTTAATGAATACATTAGATATGAAGGGACCCCCCCCCCGTAATTTTCTGAGAATTTTCACACAATTACATTGAATATTTTCAAGGATTTTCCTGGGATTTTAAAGAAGATTTTCTGGACATTTTCACAGACTTTTATAAGTGTATTTAATGCAAAATATTGTACATTTTTCTCTGACTTTTCTTGACTTTTTCAGCCATTTTTGTTGAATTTTTCCAAAATCTTCCCAAAGTTATTGAGTATTTGGTTGTGGTGTTTTTGTTTAATATTCTGTAGTATTTTTTTGTAGTTTTGTTTTTCTGCTAAATTTATAGTGAGATTTTTGGGGCAAAATATTTTTTTTTTCTGGAACATTTCAAAAAGATTTGAATTTGAACTTTTCAAATCTTCATTGAGGAACTCAAAAAAGTTGAGGAAAAGTTCTACATTTTTTGAATGGTTTGAATGGGGCTATTTGTCAGTGATTTTTCTGGTAGTTTTCTGATATATTTTAGAAAAATAAAAATTGCTGTTTATATGAATGATATTGATCACATCATTCAACAGCTTGTCAGTCTTTACACTGTGCAGAACATAGGCTGTCATCAGTTCTAAATGATTGACCTGGTGCCTCCCTCTAGTGGTTTTTTCTGAGAAGGCAACTGCAGCAGAGAGCCTTTCTACACATCTCCCTGCTGCAGTTGTTCCCTATATCTCTTTGCATTACACAGAGAATCACTTTTCTAAATGACTAAACCTTATGTTTTCATGCTGTATGTTCTGGTCCAGACGTTTTTAACAAGAGCCAACACCAACAACAGCCCGCTGAGATTACAGCTACAGCTGATGATTACATCAAAATACTAAAAACAGATACGAAAATCAGGAACCCTTTAGCACATGGAATTGCCACATGATCCACCGATCAGATTGTAATTCACATCTCAAAGAATAAGATACAGAAGAGCCCAGCAACCAAACTGTGACACTGCTCAGTCACG